ACAACTGATCAATGATATTTGTCTACATCATGGTGTTGCTTTCTGGCTTACATTCATAGAGAAGAGTGCTTGTACTGTGAATGCCACATAGCACGGCCATAGTCATGAGCGCCACCATTCTTTGAGGTTGCTGCAAAAGTAATTGCGGTTTTTGCGATTACTTTTAATGGCAAAAACCGCAATTACTTTTGTACCAAACTAATAGAAGCCAGTGGATAGGTGGTCTCCATGAGCTTGCCTACCCAGTTCAGCCTCCATATCAGCAGATGCCACTCTTCTGGTCCAACCTCCCTGAAGTTTTCATCGTCCTCAGTTTCTCTTTAGGCATGGCCAGACAAGATTGGGTGTATGTGGGGAGGCTTATCGTATACTCCAAAGGGTTTTTTGTTTGTTTGTTTTTGTTTTTTGAGAAGGAGTTTTTTTTTTTTTATTATACTCTAAGTTTTAGGGTACATGTGCACATTGTGCAGGAGTTTTTCACTCTTGTCGCCCAGGCTGGAGTGCAATGGCGTGATCTCGGCCCACTGCAACCTCCACCTCCCGGGTTCAAGCGATTCTCTTGCCTCAGCCTCCCAAGTAGCTGGGATTACAGACGTGCGCCACCATGCCCAGCTAATTTTTGTATTTTTAGTAGAGATGAGTTTTTTAAGTCTGTGCACCTATGTACTCAAGGTAAGTAAGCGTCCTGGAGGAGAGGTTTAAAAATTAGGGGCTGTTGGCCTGGCGCAGTGGCTCATGCCTGTAATCCCAGCACTTTGGGAGGCCAAGGCGGGTGGATCACGAGGTCAGGAGATCGAGACCATCCTGGCTAACACGGTGAAACGCCGTCTCTACTAAAAATAGACAAAAATTAGCCGGGCGTGGCAGCGAGCACCTGTAGTCCCAGCTGCTGGGGAAGCTGAGGAAGGAGAATGGCGTGAACCCAGCAGGCGGAGCTTGCAGTGAGCCGAGATAGCACCACTGCACTCCAGCCTGGGTGACAGAGCAAGACTCCGTCTCAAAAAAAAAAAAAAAAAAATTAGGGGCTGTCCTCCAATTTTTCAGACAAAATTTCTCTGGATCTTCTGAGTCCCATGAGAATACTACTGGAAGACCAGAATCGTGGGTTCCCAGAAATCTGTGAAGTTTTTGTCTGTCTGTCTGTTTGCTTAAAACCAAAGGGCATATTTCATAATTGTAACTTTGTTCATCATGCTATGGCTGCCGGAGGACAGAACACTGCCTTACCAAGTAAAAGTCTGTTTTATAACTGTGAGTCATCAATACTCAAAAAATGTCCAGAAATATATTCATGAAATTGACAGGGTGCCTGCAACTTTTAATCTTATGACAATGTT